TACTCTTTTGATCCATTTGGTTCCCTCTAGCACTAAGTTTCAAATTCGTTTATGCTAATTTACACTGTTATTTATGTAGTCAGTTAGGCAAAGACTGGCTGAACAGGAGACACATGCATTTACATACAAATTCAAGAATAATCACAGTGAATCTTGTAATATTAGAAAATGTCCCTCGACTGTCTGTCCATCTCTCACATGGGGAATAATCAAATACCATAAATAGCCAGCTCAGTTACAGAGTGCTCTGCAGCCCAGGAGATTAAAAGTCTGAAGGTAGCTGGGCTTGGCGGCACATGCGTTTAATTCCAAGCCCTCAAGAGGGAGAGCAGGAAGATCTTGATTTTGAAGCTAGCTTGCTCTGCTATTGAGCTTCAGGACAGCCAAGGCTATGGTAGACCTTAACACTCTCCTCACTCCGTCCCTACCCTATCTGTAATGGGGGAAAAAAAAGCACAATGGTGTCAAGGCCTATGGGATGGCTCAAGGAAGGGCAGCTGCCTCCAAATCTGATGATCTGAATTTGAACCTTGGAATCCATATGTGATAAAGAGAGAAGTGGCTCCTGAAAGTTGTCCTCTGACCTCAACATTGTCCTATGGTCCTATGGCAAGTACACGCTCCACACCCAACAGATAAATAAAATGTTTTGTTTTAAATGGATATTTAAAAAAAAAAGTAATGGTGACTTAATTCTTTCAAAATTGGCCCAGTACTTTGGTTTTTGTTTGTGTTTTTTAGATATGGTCTGTGGTAGCCCAGGTTCTCCTCATACTTACTGTGTAGCCAAGGGTGACCTGGAACTACTGGTCTTTCTGCTTCTACCTCCTGAGTGCTGTGATCACACACATTCATCACCATGGCCAGATGATAATAATTTATTATAAACATTATTAATTATTGTTTTGATTTATGGTCTTACCAAGTAGTGCAGGCTTGCCTGGAACTCATGATTTTCCTGCCTCGGCCATTAATGTTGTCATGACAGGTGCAGGGCACATCACGCTTTTTTTTAAAAAGCTGTACTCTGCATTCTTCCTGATTTATAACAACAACAAAATCACCGAAGAACTATCTATCTTCCAGATAAATATCTATCCAGAATGGATAAAGCCTAAAAGCTAATCAGGATGGATATTTGACCCCATGACTTATTCATTTTGTAAGTGCAGGATTTTATGTTTTTACAAATCTCTCCCGTTGCTCCCAGCTTCTCTCAGCAGCTTTCCTACCCTGCTTCTGTGAGTCTCACTTCAGATTCCACATATGCTATCAAATAGCATTTGCCTTTCTATGTCAGGCTTAACAGTAGAAATTTCCTTTTACAGGTATCTTCTTTGTGTTACAGTCAGTACTTAGTTCACATACTTTCCACCCATACCTATGATGGCAATCACACCAGACAGTCCCCCACACAAAATGCCTCTAACCTCCATCAGTCAGCTATATTTTCTAGGAAAAATTCTTTGACCTGCCAACATTTCCTCCACTTCTGTTTACCTGTAGACATTTTAAATTCATGGATAATGCATGGATGGTGTTTTATTTGTTAAACTGACACAGTCTAGAACCACCTGGGAAGAGAGTTCCAGCAATCAAGCTGGCCTTTGGGCATGTTTGTGGAGAATTATCTTGATGCTGTGGGAGGCATCATTCCCTAGGCAGAGGACTTGGAACTGGGTAAAGGTGGAGAAAGCAAGTGAGCTGTGCAAAGTATACATTCACTAACCCAGTGTGCTCTGCTGATGACTGAGGATGTGACGTGACCTCCAGCAATGATGAACTGTGACCTGGAATTGTTTGTTGCTGTTCTGAAACACCCAAAAATACTTACAGATAAAACTAAACTTCATCCTTATCTTACTCTCCTTCCCCGGCTACCTCTGTGCTTAGCTAGAATGTGTCCTCAGAGAGCTTTTCCTGGTATGTTACATGCAGACTTGCGTAAAGAAATAAATAGCATGCGTTGTGTTTTATGCATACACAATCTTACTGTTCTGGATTTTAATATTGTTCTGCAATTTGTTTTATAGACACTTTCTATCTCAGTACGAACAGCACTTACTCTACATACCTTGACAAAAGCAACTTAAGGGAGAATGGGTTTGTTTAACTCACAATCTCAGGTCACAGTTCATCACTGCTATCAGTCATGGTGACAAGAGCTTGAAGTAACTGGTCACGTCACAACCACAGTCAAGAAAGAGCACAACACAATGCCTTTGTTCATGTTTAATCATGTGTGCTGCTCTGATCCATGCAAAAGCCACCCTTAAGCAAGTTTCTTCACAAGCAAGGGTGACTTCCAATAGGATAATGATTTCTGTTCCAACCAACCTGGCTTCTGTCCCATCAGGCTGCAGGAGTTTCTGTTCATTCACTACCAGCTTCTGCTTTGTTTGCTTTCTTTCATTACTGACTTTCTTTTCTTTTTTTTTTTTCTTGTTTTTTTTTTTTTTTTTTTTTTTTTTTTTTTTTTTTTTTTTTTTTTTTAAGACAGAATCTTAGGTAGCCCAGGCTATTTCACTTCTGCTTTCACCTCTCCAGTTCTGGGGTAACAGGTGTGCACCAGCAAGCATGGCTTATTTCTGGTCTTACAGTGAAGTCTTTGGTCTGTGTTCAGTTGCTTTTTGGACAGGAAGAGACAGAGCGCCAACTTCAGCCTTTTGTACAAGCCAGCATTTGTTAACTGCCCACCTGCCCTCCCTTCCTGCTCCTCCCACCCCACCCAATGCCCATTTAGATTCCTCCTGCTTCTCTCCTGCAAATCTCTCAGCACCATTGGGTCACCGGTTCTACTCTGGCTGCCTGGAAATCTTGCTTCCTCCTACTCTGTGTGCCTCGTCTCCAAATGTTAGCATTCTTTAGGCTCCATCTAGAGCCCTTCATTCTGCATTCTCTTCCTTGATTTCCCTATATGCTCCTAGAGGCCCTCTACATGATAATGTCTTCCAATTTCTGTTCCTGTCCAGCCCTGTGGAGCTTTCTGCTAGCAACTATTGGTAGGGACTTAGCTCTCTGCCAAGTGCTGACCACAGAATAAATACAAAAGGACCAACAATGCTCACCGCCTTCCCTTTTTCACCTGAATGTATATCCTGAAAACACCTGACATCCCTAGGGACTCCATTACTTTCACCTACTTGCTCTGACCCTCAAGACACAGTACCCCAGATGTTTAGTTTAGAAAATCAGGATACCTTCTTGGGTCCTACTTCCCCAAATGCTCAGGCTGCACTTTCCATCCCTACATCTCTCATCACTGTTTGTGTATCTTCCTTAGGTACCTGCAAGGGTCCACCTGGCTTTCATTTTTAATCTCCATTTCTCATCCTGAAATGAACCTGTATCACCACAACCTTTACCCTTCAATGGCTTCCCTCACCCACACAGTGAAGCCTGGGATGAGTGGGTCAGGCCACCCCATCCATCTTTTTTTCATGCTTTGATGGGAGTCTGCAGCAACTTCTTTGCCTCAGCCCCTTTGTGCCTGGTGACCTGGAAAGCCGACTCCCTGGCATTTAGCAGTTGGAGTCCTTTTCATCTATCAAGTTTCACCTTAGTCATCTCACAGAACCCTGCCCAACCACCTGACCTGCAGCAGGTCTCCGTAACTATTACTGTGGCCAGTCTCCTGTATGTTTTTGAAACAGGGAAACAGGGTTTCTCTGTTTTAGCCCTGGCTGTGCTGGAACTCACCCTAGAGATCAGCCTGGTCTTGAACTCAAAAGAGATTCCCTGCTGTGAGTGCTGGGATCAAAGGCAAGCACCAGCATTGCCCAGCCTTCCTAGTTCTTTTTGCCTCACAAAATGCACCTCACATAGCTCCTTACTAGTTAGCTTTCTTTGCTAAGCATTATGCTCAAGGTCTTATTTACAGTTATAGCCAAGCATATAGCTTTGGACATGATATCCTCCAATCACTGATCCCAAATTCATCACCCTAATTTAACATGAGGCAAGAAAACCCGACCCAATCACACAATCACATGGACTGCTAAGAGTGACATATTCTGGGGCCTCACCTCTCCAGCTTAAATCTCAGTGGATCCGATTAGCTGGGATGCAGGGTGCATTACCTGGCTCCCGTGTGTCTGTCTTGATTTGGCGACTGGGATCTACAGCTTCTATACCAAAAACATTTATTGCAAAGGTGAGTGGGATGCCTAGCATATGACTGGGAATTCTATGGCTTTCCTTATCAACCTGAAAATTGTTTCTTCATGCAATCCCCATTCCCTTGCTGTTTAGTTTCAGGCCTAGAATTGGCTGTACAGTTGAGGACTTTGATCTTAATCCTGACTCCAGGACAGGCTTCTGTTTTAGCTCTGGCTATCCTAGAACTTGCTTTGTAGACCAGGTTGGCCTGGAATTCAAGACCTCTACTTGCCTCTGTTGGGACTACAGGCATATGCCACCACTACTTGGCTGACAGAGAACTTCTGATTCTCACCATTAGGGTATTATGAGCTAACTGTAACCTTTGGCACAGGAATCTCAGATCAGAGACCAGTGATTTTATCGCAAGTGAACCATCACTTATGCTCAGGGTCTGGACCACACAGGGGGTCTGTCAGAAATTTCTTATTAAGTTAAAGCAGCAACCCCCCACCCAAGACTTAACATAACTACATAGTAAGAGATTTTCTAGAACTAAGTACTAAATGTTTCTTTTAAATTAGAAAAAAACATTTAGGGTTTTTATGTATGTTTACCTTCATGTAATGTACACCTACTACATACATGCTTGGTGCCCCTGGAGACCAGCAGAGCCCCTCAGATCCCCTGGAACTGTATTAACAGGGGCTAAGCTGCCATATCGGTGCTGGGAAGCAAACTCAGGTCCTCTGCAAGAGCAGCCAGTGCTCTTGTAACTACCGAGTGTCTCTCCAGCTCCTATCTTTTTAATCTTACCACAAAACAAAACACTGGATGTTATTAAAAATAAAAAAGGGACTAAATCAGGCAATTTCTCATTTATATTAAAAGACACCAGACAGTTTTAAAAAGGGTAGAATTAATATTTTATTGTCATTTATAATCAGATGGCAGTTGGGTATAGACTCTCCACACTTCATAGTTATTATTTTTTTTTTTTTTCAAATTAAAAAAGTTACAAGTTTAAACAGCTGGTTACATTTTTCAGGGCCTGATTAGGCAAATTCAGTAATTGTGGCTTCAAGCTTTTCCTTGTTAGCGCCAGAGAATTCACCCACCTGTTAAGAGACAAAACAGACATTAGCAGTGTCATTATTTTGTACAGACGCTATAATCAGGGAAAGAACAACAACAAAAAAGAGATTTTACTTAAACTTTCTTCAGTAAGTTTTCTAAAAACAAGAGACAAAGCTAATGGCAAAAATAAATTTAGAGAGGATCCAAAGGGCTTCCAGTGCAATTCTCCCAACCATAAATACCTCTTGATAAGAACAGGCCGGCCAACATGAACGGTGGTATGCTGTGTGGTATTGAATGAAGTAGCTGCGGAGACCTAGTGACTGGTCTTTAAAAGAGACTAACTTTCAATTAGGCACCGCATTATGTGTTAAGGTCCAGGAAGGACGACACTGTTCAGTTCTCCTGAGACAAGGTTTGTTCCTGGGCCTCAGCCTCCCAAGCACTGAGATTACAGTGTCACAGCAGCCTTATCTTCTTGAATGTAAAAAGCGGTGACAAAGCTCTTGTGCAGAGGTCACGTCAATGCTCTCTGACTGTACACTATACATTCTTTTGCTGAAGTGTTACATCTGGTTTTTAGTTGAGATGTGGCAACTTTACTATGCATTTGAGGCTAAAACCTTGCAGCAGTCATCTTGCTTGGCTCCGTAAGCTCTGGAATACAAGCATGCAACATACCCGAGGCTTTATACAGTAATGAGAGGTGAAGTCGCATCACCCATCTGAGTGACTTCAGTTATTTCTGTGTTTACATTATTTTGCCAACTTGGTTATTTTTATTTTTTATTATTTTTTTAAAGACAGAATTTTTCTATGTAGTCTTGGCTGTCCTAAACTCAGAGACTCATCTGTGTCTGCCTCTGCCGAGTGCTGGGATTAAAGGTCTGTGCCGCTATACCCAGCTCTGGTGGTGTTCTTGAAGTCAATTATACATACCTTTTGGCCCTTTTTATAAAACTGGAAAGTTGGCATGCATTTGACTTCACAGTCTGCAGCAACATCCTAGGGTGCAGGAGAAGGTGGTCAGTGAGATAGGGTGAAAATAAGAATGTGATCATTAAACACAGATGGAAAATTCCAAAAACCAGGCTTCTCTATTATATACCCCAAACCTCAGCCTTAGAACCTTCGAGCACCATCATTACATCAGCAACAGAAAAGCCCACCAGTTTGCATCCTCACTTATAAACCTGTACTAAATATCATCAACCTCCACGGTCAGGCACGAACAAAAGAAATGTTCCTAGGATCAGTTAATGCAGCAGCCATTTACCATGCTGTTTAATTTGATTAGTTCTTGAACAGCTTAGAGTCAAGAGGAAATGACACACTCCTCTGCTCCTCAGAATTAGCAGGTCTTGGTTTGCTAGGTTTTTCCAATTTTATTAAGGGAGCAGGGCATACACAAGTGATGACTGTAAGGGCTGGACAGTTATTTGTTGTTTCTGGGGCTGGAAGCTAATGCTTTACACACATGGAGGCAAACATTCCAAACTCTCTGGATAGGATCGTGCCACATTACCAAGGCTGGCCTGTGAAAGAAAGAAAGAGAGAGAGAGAGAGAGAGAGAGAGAGAGAGAGAGAGAGAGAATGACTATTCCTAAGGTTTATTGTAGATAAAAGGGGAACATATCCTGAGGCAGAAACATCTGAGAGAATCCAGAGAAAGACTGAGTCAGGCCATGTGAAGACAAGAGGGAGGAGACAGCCAAGAGACCAAGAGGCCAGGAGGGTAAAGGATAGACAAAAAAAGGACCACGTAACCAAAATGGCTGGATTATATAGGGCATGGTAGCTGGGAAAAGGGCAGCTAGTTGCTGGACTGGAGAAGTTTAGGATGGGGGTAGGATATGCCAGCCTTCCCCTGTAACAGGAACTGAGAACCTGACAGCCAGGTCTCTGCTCTGACGTTTGTCTCTGGCTGAGACCTACCAGCCTCTATTCACAACCCTGCCTCAGTTTCCTGAGTGCTGGGATCACAGATGTGCACACCATGCTGAGCTCAGGGCCACATACTGAATTACAACCCAGAAGTTACCCTTAGCCACGCAGGATGGCACACACCTGTAAGCTGAGCTCTCAGGAAGTAGAGTCAGGGGCACGAGAAGTTCAAGGCCATCCTCACCCACTTTAAGTCCAGACTGGGGCTATAAGACCCTGTCTCCAAAATAAGCAAACAAATACGTAAGTCACTGGAAAAGGGTGTCTTAATGAGATAGATTTTTAAGTGTCTATGTTCATACAACTTATTTTTAAAACTGCAACTACAACTCCATATACTAAATTTTTAAAGTATTAGGAATTTTCTTATGCGGTCTGGAGAGATGGCTCAGCAGTTAGAAGTACTGGCTGCTCTTGCAGAGGACCAATACACATTGTGGTTCACAACCATCTATAGCTCTAGTTCCAGGGGATCCGATGTCCTCTTCTGTTCTCCACAGCAGCAAGCACATCTTCAGTGCACATGCAAGCTTGTATGCAAAACACTTATATATAAAATGGATATATCTTGACAACAACAACAACAAAAATCCAGTTTTTGTTTTTTTTTTTGTTTTGTTTTTTCCATATTGCTGTGTCAAAGTGACTTCTTAAAGGTGGCGGGTAGTTTATTTCACAATTTAATTCCTCTTCCTGGACTTTCAGATCATTTCCAATTTATGCAAGCATACTTGTGAATATATACATATATTTTGGGTTTTGAAATATAAAATGGAACTGCTGGGTTGCAGAAAGAAAATTCTACAATCTGCTCCATGAAGAAAAGGTGGGTGTTACCCAATCTTTACTATCTTATCACTCATTCACCTCAACGCACACCTTTCTTTACAAAATACATGCTATAGGCACTCCCCGCCATCCCACATCTGGAGAGATGGACTTTCCTGTAAGAAATAGTTATGCACCCCACTTTTTTTTTTTTTAACTACCCCACAGTAGCCACTATATGAACACATTACGTGTGTTCTGGCTAGTTTTATGTCAACTTATCATAAGCTATTGTCATCTGCAGTAGAGAAACTGCCAGTTAAGATCTGGCTGCAGACAAGCCTGTAGGGCATTTTCTCATTCAGCAACTGATACGGGAGGCACGCTGTGGGTGGCTCCACCCAGGCACGTGCTGTAAGAAAGCCGTGTTCCTTCATGGTCTCTGCATCACCTTCAGTCTCTAGCTCCCTAACCTTGACTTTCCTGTGATGTACTGTGACCTGGAAGTGTGAGCAAAACACACCCTTTCCTCCCCAAGTTATTTTTGGTCGTGTTCATCACAGATAAAGAAACCCAAGCTAAGGCTGTGTAAATACACACACACACACACACACACACACACACACACACACACACACACAGTGTCAGATTCCCTAGAACTGGACTTTCAGCAAGCTACCTGATGTGGGTGCTCTAAGTGCTCCTAACCAGAGTCACCTCTCCAGCGCCAAGTAACCCAGACCTCAAGCAATTCATCTGACATGGAAATGGTGGTTTTTCCTCATGTACTTTCAGTCCTCACATACAAATATCCCGCACACTGATCTGCTCCTCCCACTCATCAACCCTACAAACAGAACTCTTGACTGTGCTTCAGTCTCATGACTCTCAGGCCGTCAAGCCCTCCAGGCCTGCTCAGCCAGGGAAGATTTCATACACCCCATGTATCAAGGCCTCAGCTCTGCAGTATCTTTGCTCAGCAGTGAAAGAGAAAAGCTGGTTTACAGCACCTATTATTCCTTTATTTCCTACAGGTTTTATCTTCTAATATATGTAGGAATAGAGAACAAGGTAGAACAGCAACAGCTTAACTCTAAATGGCTAATCATTAACATATGGTTAAATAGTGTTCGTTTAAAACAATGTTTTAATTAATGTAGTAGCTAATATATATTTGTACAGAACTTTACTAATGTTTTTCCCCGGACCCCCTTCTTTTTAAAAAAAACTGTCCTAAGACTTTCCTGTCTGTACTATTTCAAAGCATTACCATAAATTCCCCCAAATACACCAGCTCCAAACTGGGTTAAATTAAAATTTGGGAATACTAAGGTTTTAACCATGCCAAGTCAATATCCATGAACACAACCTCATTGCCATCTATTAAAGTTTTTTTTTTATAGGCTTCAGTAAAGCCTGGTGACAGTTCTCTCATCATTCTAGGTCTCTATTCTGCCCACGTAATGCTCTATGGGTTGCAATGCCTATTCCTTTTGCTTTAAGAACCTCACTCTGTGGTCTGGGCTAGCTCCAGACGTTTAAGGACCCTCCTCCCGTGTGCTGTGAGTGTGTGTGCAGGTGTGAGCCACCGCATTCTCATATACACCATTCTTGATCCGGGGTTTCTTTCATTGTCTCCTCCCTAAGACCTGGGGTCATACCCCTACTTCCTGCTCTTTAAAAAATTACAAAACACTTATATTCAGGAAAAAAAAAAATCACATTTTGGCAGTGTTCAAAAGTGGGTGTTAAAACCCACTCACAGTTACTGTGTAATTATCTAACGGGGTCAACTGATCTAAGTCAAGGGTAAATTTCTCCTGGCTAAATAACCACATAGCGGCTGTTCTCAACCTTCCTATTGCTGCGTCCCTTCGATACAGTTCCTCATGTTGCAGTAACCCCCGATCAGCTACTGTGAAATGTTTCCTGGTGGTCTTGGGTGACGTGACCCATGACTCACAGAACTGCTGCCATATATGAAGAGGGTGGGAACAGAGTACAATGGACAGACTAAGTTCATGAAAACAGGCTATGAACTTCTTTATTCCCAAAAGCAAGCTGTACTCTCATTTTCCTCCCTAACTCTAGATACTATGAGAAGAATCACTTCCCTTAGCCATTCAACAAAGACTAATGACAAAAAAGATGTTGTGACTGAGGATCCCTTGGTCATAATGCTTGGGCCCAAGTGTGTTTCAGCGTTTCTAGATTTCATAGGAGTTGCAGACTTTTTACTGTTCTGTCCACGATGGCAGCATTGAAGCTGTTTGACTTTCAGAGCACTTTGGATGTTGGATGCTCGCTACCATGTTTCACCAAGGGTTTGGGAGCCAGGCCGGCCAAAGGCTTCATAATTATGGTCTTGCTCAATCTGGATAACCACCTTATTTGTGATGCTGGACAACACTGCTAATTAGAAGATGAAAGCAAGGCACACGAAAGTAACCAGAGCAAGCCCCCACTGTTAAAAAAAGGGATCGGCAGCCAGGAGCACAGGCATAGGACCCATTCCTTCTTACCACTGTAAGCTTGGAGGAAGGCAACCAAAGACGACCATGCGAACGCCGAGGAGAGGAAGCAGACTGAGAGTGTAGAATGAAAGGGCTGAATGGAGATGGTGGCATGAGAAGGAAGTGAAGCTTGTGACAGGGATTCAGTCACGTAGGAAGGACGGGCCAGGGAGGGGAGACAGCACAAGTGAAGAGAGGCCAGGAAGCGTGCGGAGAAAAAGCATGCTGGGGATGATGCGAGCCGGGTGTTTGAAGAGGACTGCTGCACATCTCACGTGACCAGCCAGAACTTTTAACAAGCCAACGGTCAGGTACAGAGATCTGATTCTAGACAGAGCAGTAGGTGGAGGAAGATGAGAGATCAGCATAAAGCAGGCCGCCCACAGAGCCAGTATTGGAGTCCAGTCTAGTACTTTTGCTGCCACCTCATTCTCTACTTCCTTCTGCCCCAAAGGGCAAGTAAAAGTACTCAAGCATGCAAGCCTTTAGGGCCTGGTGCTCCATCCCAAGCAGGCTTTTCCAGCCCAGCAGCCCTCGAGAGGCAAGGTCATATGCTAAGTACCTGGTCTGCCCTTTATAGGGTGAGTTATGGAGGCAGAGGCTAAGAGCCAAGGGCAGTGGAACCATGCTGCCTCATTTAAAACACTTGCTCTACCAGGGCCTATGCAACTCCAAGGGCAACTTCTCTGTTTCAGCTTTCCCATCGCTAAAACAGGGCCAGTACCGCTATGGGGGCTAGAGGGCTACAGATATCAGTATGTGGGAAAATACACAGAACAGACCTGAGTGTGTAACAAACAAGAACCTGTCCAATAAAACCAGGACTTAAATTTCCCCTCAAGTACTCCCAGCTCTCTAACACACTGCGGCTCGCTTGTTGTAATGTCTGGGCTTTCTCACTGATTCAAACCAAGCAGAAGAATAATAATGAGAATATTCTACAAGACAAGTTCAGAGTATCTCAAAAGTGTCCTCACAATTTCATGATGCCACCCACTCTGTTAGAGCCACAGTTAACTTCTATCCACTGAGCATCTCAGAATACAGGCCTGTGCAACACAGAGGCCTCCACCCTGAGAGCTAGCGTTCAGATGGTCACTTTAGAATGTGCCACACGCACCTCCTAGTATCTAGGATTAAACCCACACACATGCCCCACTCTTCCCAAATAGAACTTCTTAGAGTCCCACTTCTAGCATTACTCAACACTTAGAGGAACAAGGCAGCCTCCCGAGGGCCGGCCACTAGGAGAGGAGTGGCAGCACCAGATTCTCCCCGAGTACCTGGCAGTCATCCACGTCCACTTCAAGGAACACCACGCTGGCATACTTTTCAGAGAGGGACTGGAAAATTTAAAACAAACCAAGAGAGTTATAACTGAGTAACGACAGTCAACATAGCTATGCTTTTTCAAAGGAAATATAAGAGATAAAATATTTATTCACTTTTATTTTATGCATATGGATGTCTTGCCTACATGCCTGTTTGTGCACCATGTGTTTGCCTGGTGCCTACAGAGGCCACAAGAGGGTGCCGAATGCCCTGGAACTAGGGTTATAGGAGGTTGTGACCCTCCATTTGGGTACTGGGAACCAAACGAAGGTCCCCTGGAAGAGCAGCCAGTGCTCTTAACCACTGAGGCATCTCTCCAGATCTAAGCACTAATTAAAGATTTTTAAAAATTATTTAAGAGTCCTTACTGTTGTGTTATTACTGTATGTGTGTGCACGTGCCACATACAGCACATACATGCACGTGGAAGCCAGAGGGCAAGTTTTGGGAGTTGGTTCTCCCTTTCCAGCGTGGGTTTTGAGATCACACTCGGGATATCAGGCTTGCATGGCAAGCCATAAGCTCCTTTTTCCACTGAGCACCCTCACCAGCCAGGTCTAAAAATTCGATCAATATAAGAGACTAGGTAAGCACCAGGGACACAGCGGTCTACGAGTCAAATTTTCCCAAGGATAAAATAATTTGGTACTGTCATTTCTAGGCCTGAATTTCACCCTGGGCCTTGGTGTCAAATGGGGAGAGGAGAGAACAAAAACCCAAAATTACTTAGGACCACAAAACTTCCCAAAGTTGTCTTCAATGAACTATATTATGAAAGTTGTTATGCTACTGCTTTTTGGCTAATGACACGGGAAAACAAAGCAAACCCCTCACACACCCATTCACCATCAATCCTTTCCTCTCAGTCTATGGCCACGAGCCAGCCTCTAAGCCCATACATAGCTCTCATACTCACATGAAAGAAGGGCTTGATCATTTTGCAAGGTCCACACCACGTGGCAGAAAAGTCCACAACTACAAGCTTGTCTCCTGCAGCGGCCAGGGCCTCCTGAAAAGCTTCCTGAGGAGAAAGACACGCCTGCATTATATCCTGTCACTTTCCACAAGAGGGCTTCGCTGGGTGTGACCATGCCTTTAAATCCAGCGCTCACTGGGCAGGCTTAGGTAAGCAGATCTCTTGGTGGTGGTGGCCAACCTGGTCTCCACTGGCCAGTTTCAGGCTAGCCAGTGAGGAAGCCCTCTTATGCCGGCAAAAAGATCCAAGCAAACACAAAAACGAGCAACAAACAGATGTTAAGTACAAACCAGAGGTTCTGCTTAGGGACTACTTTTTATCCAAAGCAACCAGATAACGCGGCTTGAAGGAATTCTTGCACAGGGTTGGTGCTGTTACACTCGATAAGATAAAAGGAGATATAATGAGGAGAGTGTCCTGGTGTCCAGGAATAACTTATCAAATTCTGTGAACTGACTAATCTGGGTGGAGGGATGATGTGTGGACACAGGGCATTGCACACATTAGGCAAGGGCTCTACCTTAGCGCTCCAGCCTTAGCACTCAAAACCAAAAAGGGAAAATGGGCGTTTGTGATGTTTTCACTTCTGACACTGGATTCTTAGGGGTTGGTGAAAGGAACCTAAAAATCAAAGAAGCTTCACCAGACACAGTTAAGCAATGGAAAAGTCACAAGTTACTTAACCAAAGGGGAAATAAAGGCAACACATTTGCTTAACATGGGCAAAATCCTTGATGCCATGGCACAGCCCAGGAGAGCAAGCTCTTACTCTGGAGGTCACTGCTAGCGTAACATTTCGTGTGTGTGTGTGTGTGTGTGTGTGTGTGTGTGTGTGTGTTTGTGTGTGCGCGCACGTGCGTGAACGAGAGTCCCCTGGAAGAAGATGCACTCTTAACAAGCTCTCCAGCCCCTTCCGTGTACCTTAAACAGGGTTTCTAGAGTTGGAACCACACTGCTTATCAACCTTTGACTTTTGCCCTTTATTTTCAGTCCCTCAAGAAGGAATTATTTTTTTTGTTTTGCTTAAGTAACACTTATCACATGAAATCCTCAGCAAAAGTGAAAAAAAAAAAATCCCTCACCACTAAACTCCTTGAATTATTTACTAAAAGCCTTGATACTGTAACCGTAGGAACCTAACACTGGAGTTACCAGGGACTCACGCAAACCACCGTTAGTCACTTAGTGATGACCAAAATGCAAACTGGGGCAACAAAGATGAATAAAAACATAAACAGCCATACGTGAAGCCAACATGTCCTTCAGGGAAAAAAAGTTGGTCAAATTAGTTATCAAAAACTAAGACAAACTAAGGATCACATTACATCTGGTTCAACAAAGCAAACAAATGCAAATATATAAAACATACATACACATGCACACTCAAAACAAAAACCTATTGAGTTTTCATGGCACATAGTTACTTTACCCAAAAACTTTTTTTGTAACTAATGTTTTTGTCTGGATGTATTTATGTCCATCACTTGTGTGCCTGGTGCCTTCAGAGGCTGGAAGAGGGTATCAGATGCCCTGGAACTGGAGTTACAACTACAGGACAGCATTCAGGTGCTAGAAATTGAACCCCCTCATCCTCTGCAAGACCACCAGGTGCTCTTATCCAAGGAGCCATCTTTTCAGCCTTGGGTAGTTACCTTTTAGGTTTTTCATTTCTATCTCATGCTTTTCAGGAAAAATAATCCCGTGTCATTTCTGGGAACAGAATGGCTACAAAGACTTGTAGAGCTGTCTAGTGTTCCAGGCCCATCGATCCCATGCCAGGGTGTGAGCAGCACTGAGTGGGACCGCAGCGGAGAGTTCCCCAAACTACCACCGGTTGTTGCAGGTAAATTTCATAACCCCCCACCACGTGATGAGCAGACGCCACACTACCTATTCTCTACTGCAAGACCCTGGTTCAGCAGGCTGCTCTGCTGACACCCGGATCTGGAACATGGCTGACCCCCAGCAATAAAAAGTTGACGAGATTACATGGAAAGCATGACGAACTGCATTTCTGAAGCAGCTACAAGTCAAATTCAAGCAAAATCTTTAAAATTCTGACAAAGCGGCTGGCAGCTCTAACTGGCTCACAACCCCAATTTCTGGCTTCATGGAACTGTAGTTACAGGGATGTGCAAACTTCACCGATGAGTTCTCCTCAAGTGTGTGAACTTGCGTGAAGTACTGGCTTGAGTATTCAAAATTATCTACTAAGGAGCAAATCACAATTTTTAGCTACAGAAACTAATAAACACTACTGATGAATGTCTCCACCACCGACACCAATAATTGGAGACAAAAAAAAACCACAGCCAGAGTAGAAAGGAGCAGATGCTACTATTCCTCTTCTCAAACACACCTAGCTCAGGGGCTGGCAAGATGGCTCAGCAGATTAAAAGGTGCTTGCAACCAAGACTCAGGAACTGAGTTCAATACCCATGACCCACTGCTAGAAGTGAACCAACCCTCCCAAGTTGTCCTCTGACCTCCACAAGTATACATGAATATTAACCAAAAGAGAAAGCCCCAAACAACAAAACCATACCCAGGCCAAAGGTAATAATACAAAATGGTCTTTGCTTTTTCAGACAAGTTCTCACTCTGTAGCCCAAGCCTGTGGTGATCCTCCAGTCTCAGCCTCCTGAATGATAGTGATTAGAGGCATGAACCAACAGCCTGGTCTAACAGTGGCCTATGAAGAACCCAGCAAAGTGCCTTGCATATAGTTCAATAAATAGTTTCATTTTTAAAAATAAATAAAGGAAGCCAACTGTTGATTTCTTCATTACACTGTCGCCCATCGTTCCGCTCCTGTTAGACCCCAGAGGACCTTAACTAACCAGAGTCCTCCGAAGCACAGAAGCACCATATGGCTAAAACAACCAACTGAAGCCCATCAGATGAGACTTCGTTAACCTCTGACTCAGGGCGACTCGGATCAGGGTTTTTGGGGCCCAAGCTTTTTATGACTAACTGGTTTCCTGTCACCAATGTAAAGCCTTCCTACTGGAATGGCAAAGGTCCCAAAAGTAGCACAGTTTAAACAGGCAAGGACCCTGTGAGTGGATTCTGAGCAAACTGACGTGAGACCCAATCAGGTGCTCAAAACTGGAGGGCACAGACCTTTCTCCCACCGGCTCCCCTAGGGCAAGGTTGAACTTGTGAGACAGTCTTTCGAAAGTCAATTCCCACCCACTCCCCTTTCACTTTCCATTTAACAAATATTCTCCAAGTGGTTACAGTGTAACAGGCTCTGGGATTCCCAACCTCCAGGATATTTTGATTCTCAGTAACTTTCAAATATGGTAACAGTTTTTCCCCTGGGTATTTTTTCCCCCGGGTATTTTTTTCCCCCCAAAGGGCAGAACCAGGACTTTGTACTGGACTACTCCCAGGGGAGAGCCCTGGATTCCAGGAAAGCCCACTGACCGTGGGTAAATCACTGAAACCTTAGGCAGCGAGGCCCCTGGGCCCAGACATTGGAGACTGAGTCATTCCAAAGCCAGCGCTGCCGGAAACACGCCCTGCGCCGCAGGAGGAGGAGTCTCGCGGGCGCGGCCTGGACCTCTTTTCCAGGCAGTCACCTGGGGTCTCCAACCGGCACCTGGCCCCGTAAACCGACCTCTCACGCGTCCTCTGGGCGGCGGGCCACCGATGGAGGCAAACCCCGGCCTAGCCCCGCGGCACAGCACACCCGCGCGGTCTAAGACACCGGCTACCCACCTTCTTCCAGAGACCCCCGAATGCCGATTCAGACGGGTCACCGGAGGACCCCCTTCCATCATTTTACCTCCTCCAGATTTGGGCTGGCAGGAAGGAGAGTGCGAGAGATTGCAGCTCGGAGGACCCAGGTGCTGCCCAAGCGTGCACCTCCAGTATCGGGCGTAGCAGGGTCTGCCCGCTCCCTCCCCCAGGGCGTGCTCCACAGCCCAAGGCGCACACAGGCCCAGGGCTGGACCGCAGAGAGAGCGAGGGCGTCCTCTCGGCAAGGCCGGGTGAGCGCGGCGCCCGGGCACGCGTACCTTACTCTCGATCAGCTTCACCATTTTGGCTGTCGCGGGGAGGGAACCACAGGAGTTTCTGCAGAATCCGATGGAAACGGATCCGATGCGCCGAGCGGAGATTGCAACTGAGCGCGGCGCCCGCCTTCTCTTTATAGAGACTGGGAGGAGCGCGGCGAGGCGGGGCGGACGGGCACGCGCGGCGGAGACGCGCTCCCTAGCCTCCCGCGCCGGCCGAGGCGCCTCCGCAAGCCACGCCCAGACCACGCCCCCACGGGCGGAGCGGTTTCCAGAGGACGCAGCCAGAGCCCACTACTTGAGCAGCTCCGGAACTGCCGTTGTGCTGGCCCGGCTCCCGGCTCCGCCCTCTACGCTGTCGAGCGAGGACCTCGGCTTACGGGGGGTGGAGCTAGCGCAGGCGCCTAGAGCAGCTTCGGGATCTCCGGGCTCCCCGACGCCGCCCTGCGCTCACCGGGTGGAAGTCGTGCGTCCGGCTACCCCAAGGGCGCTTTCTCTGCGCACTGTAAGGGGTGGTAGGCCGCGGTCCCCTCTCACGACGTAGAGTCCCTCTGGAATCACATTGGCCACGCCCTAAACAGACCGAAGTCAGATACTTCTATACTGGGGCTGGGGACAACTCGAGCAGAAATGTAGCCTTTGACCAGGGCGGCCATGCTGCGGTTCTCCTCAAAGTGCTGAGTAACGATGACTAGGAAGTGTCTCAGTGCGCGCCCTCGCCTCCTTTAAGAATATTGCTTTTGACACTTCTCCCCCCTCTCCTTCCTATTCTTTAACTTTCGCAGGTGGACCTGCTGCTGCAGAGGGATAGAGCCCTTTAGTTTCCTTGTTTTGTGCCCCGTATAAATGCAGGCATGATGGAGATCAAATGGTCCCCCTCCCAGCTCGTCTTGAAGGATTTAAGGGCTTGAAAACCGACGAGGACATCGCTTGGCACATAAGGAAACGCTCAATAAATGATTCTAATTATAGTCATCGTGAAGGCTAATTAATCTTGCGTGGGGCCATGTATTTACAGTGACAGTATACACGGATTGAGGAGATTCTTCTGTCTTGGGAGACGCCAGGAAGAGTGTCAGTGATAACTGGGGTGATGTGCAGGAGGACCGGGCGTGGTGGAAGCTAAGACATTGTTAAGGAGGCATTGTGCAGCCCGAAGGCCAGTGTGCAGCTGTATGTGCAGGTGAAGAAGCTGGGACGGAGACTGGACAGAGCCGACATGCTGGGAGGGACTTGCCAAGCCTGCCTTTTCAAAGCAGAGCATGTTTAGATAAATCTGCAACATCCACTGGAGGTCACTTTTCTGGCTACCCTACCCGTTTCCCTAGTTCAAAACAAGGAGAAAACAACCAGAACTTTTGAACTACTTGTGCGAAATCTTTAGAGGGGGGGAGGAACGCGAGTAATGAGTGAGGATGCAGACATGAGGGAGCGTTCTGAACATAGCCCCGGACTGAGGGTGGATACTGCCCTGAAGGCAGTAGCCTTCCTTAAGAGGACAGTTGAGGCACTGGTCTTTTCAGTCCAGCTACATTCCAGGTTCTTGCCTATTTCGTAGTTAGTAAATCTGTCTAGCAAGGATACCAGATCACTGACTGTCGACCTGGGAGGGTCCCGTCCGTATCCGACCCTCAGATGTCCGCTGATTCTGTTGAGGGAAGTCCTGACTCCCTGGCACCTGTACGTTGAGGATGTTGCAAATAGAATGAGGATCTGGGAGGCCAGACTGAGTTAACAGTCTCACCTCTGCCTGTCTCTCCCACCTGCATCCCCGCTTAAGAAGCTGTCTTACTCTGGGCCAGTTTACTTAGCTTTTCTGTGCTCTAGTTTCCCCTGTGAAGTGGAAACATACACCTTACACCTAAGGTTTGAGCTGCAGGACTCAAGTCCTGACAGCTCTGCTTGCTGCTCAGCACCACAAGAGCTGACTGCAGGTTCTTACAGTGAGTGACACCTGTCTGAGTTGAGGGTAGAGAGTTGGGGTGCCTGGGGAAACTATAAAACAGGTGTTAGTCTTTGAGTAATCAGGAAGTTTGAAAAAAAGAAAAAGAAAACAAACCAGGAAAAGCCACAGATGCTGAAACACGAATCTCAGAGGAAAAGGGCTATTTTCCTCACTAAGGGTGGAAGAAAAAGTGAACTGGACCTAGCCTTAAATAAAATCCTTGTGTACAAGGGAGTGATCCTTAGAATTCCAGTGGTAAGGAAGTGATATTCTGTTTGGACAGTGGTGTGCAGAGGAATTCCATGGGAGCCCAGAAATGGAGGATCCATTTGTACAGAGCAGTACTGGGACAAGAGGAAAGGAAGATGGAAAGACCTTTGAGGAACTGACTCCATCTACTGATCAGTACTCCTATTTACAAAGAGATCTACCTTAAACTGACTTAGTAGAAACTCATTGTCAGGGTAATAAAGTCATAGTGTCACCATCTCACTCCTTGTCCTTGTCTGATGGGATGTCTGTCTCAGTCAAAGGCTAGATTGAGGCTTGGATTCTGCTAGCCCAGTTTCTCTGCAGGAAAAAAAAAATCCCCACTCTCCCTGGTTCCTGCAAATGTCCAAGGAACTTCCCTTGCTTGACTAGGGTTGGAGGAATCAGCCTTGCTTTCGTCGTTGGATCAGGAGTAGAGGAAATCCAGGAAATACAAGAGGAAGGGGTTTACCAATACGGGCTTTACCAATCAAAAGAATCTTTTCATGTGATCAAGAAGAGTAGAAGTGGGGCATGATGACAAGCTTGCTTCAGGTTTCTGTGTCACACCATCTGAGACTCCATGTGGGGATGGAGATCTAGGTCTGCTCTGTCCTGACCCTGACTCTACTTTAAAGAAAATGGAGCCGTAGGGCTTCTCTGGAGTAGGTGTTTCTCAGAGCACTTATCTATTTCTTTGATCACTGATCATTGTGAGAGACAAAATTATATTTTAAGTTTAAGTTACTGTTACAAAAATGTCTTTAACTGGTAAGCCCCTTGCCCGAGGACAGATACTTCCTGAAATGCTGGAGGCTGTAGTTCATGGGAGATAAAGAGGCATTACGTTTCATTTCCCTCACCTAAACAAGCTTGTTTTGACTCAGCTGAACCGGATATGCTTGATTACATGTAGGAGGGAGCATGCGGGCAGGAAATAGATCAGGATGTATGACTGCTCCTGATTGGATGTAGGTGGAAGATACACAGGCAGGAAATACATCAGGATATATGCTTCCTCCTGATTGGACCTGTTGGGAAATATGGTGGCCTATGGGTTTGCCTTTATAAACCTCTGCAAAATGTGACTCCTTGTCATATTCTGGGAAGCTTGGAATGGTTCTGGCCAGAATCCATCATCCTGGCCAGTATTTAATTAAAACTTGCTTCAGATTTTGGCTTCAGATTTAGGGAACTGGTCTTTCACTTGTGATTCGCACGTTGAATAGCATAGCAAGGGAGCCCTCAGCCACTCTGAGATAGATTAGATAGACTTGGAGAAGCGTGCATTTTTTTTTTTTGCAGGGGGGACAGGTGGTTTTTTTTTTTGTTTTTTTTTCTGTCCTGGACTCACTTTGTAAACCGTTCTGGCCTCTAACTCACAGTGATTTGCCTATCTCCACCTCCCAAGTGCTGGGACTACAAGCATGTGCTACAACAGCCAGTATAAGTTAAATTTAAAAACGTGTCAAGCAGGACAGTTGAGATGAAAGTGTATGTAAAGTGACATAAACTGAATCAGAACAGGGTTAGAAGGAAAAGGAACAAATAATCACTGATGCCAGAAAGAGCTGAGTGTGTCTTGCTCTTCCTTTCAGGACCCTGAGGCTGCACACTTCCTGCTTAACGGGTCGGGGTGGGGGTGGGGGTTAAGGTTCAAGGAAGTGATTGTAAACTAAGCTCTCTTCTGGAAGAGAAGGATGCCAACACCGTTGTCAATCCCATTCATAGATCTTTGGCACTCCTCAGTACACCAGTGAAAACAAAACATGCTAGCTTAGAAACTATTTATGGTACTTTAAATGTTAAATATTTAGCTATTAAAAACTAATTTACATATAACATAGCATACATTCAGGACTAAATATTTTCTTTTTTCTTCTTTTTCCCTTTATTTCTCTCTTTCTTTCTTTTTTGTTTCTTCTTTTTTGTCTCTTCTTTTTCTCTTTCTTTCTTTCTTTTCTTTTCTTTCTTTTTTTTTTTTTTTTTTTTTTGACGTGGCCTTACTTTGCGCCCTGGCTAGCCGTGAGGACCAGGCTAGACTTAAATTTATAGAGCTCTGCCTACCTAAGTACTGGGATTAAAGGTGTGTGTTACTATGCCCAGCAATCCTAATTATTTTAAGGTAAAAAAAAAAAATCCCTTATGTATGCACCTGTACATAGATGTGTATATGCTGAGATCTACGTGATCAAAGGCCAGAACTGTGAGCGACAGCAGCTAACATGCATGTGTGTTCTCGAAGAATTCCTGGCAGTGGCTTAAAAATGGGCTTGGAAACTGTCCTAGTTTGAGGACAAACAGTAAGTATATTGACTTTATTATTTATCTGAAATTCAAAATAACCCAAGCATCCTGTACTTTTGCATCATACCTGTGAACTTCTTTCCTGGGTGTTCTATTGCTACTGGTGCTACTGCTCCTGGAGACTAGCCAGTACCTGCCTAGATAATTAGGTTCCTGGTCCCTATGTAAATAGGTTCCAAAATACCTACAATTAGCACAGGTGCATGTGATGAGAGAAGCCTGTGTCAAAAGCGCTTGCTCCAGGTTTAATGGAGACAAGTTCCTGGTAGTATCTTCAGCATAGCTAGAGGATATCGGCTTCTGTCTGCTACTAAGTCCTTAAATTTTCCAAACACGGAGGCAGAGTCATCAGGAGGCTCAGATACCTGTGGCACTAGGGAGCCAATGTCTATCTCACTGTCTCTTCATCATGTTCCTCATCTTTGCTATTGTGTGGATGCTGGTGAGTTGGAGATCAGGTGTGGTTCATATAATCTCTTTGCAGGTGACTCTACAAGCCCAGATTCAACTGAGGTTATTTCAGGATTAAGCATGTGACTCCTTCTGGGCCAATGAGAGGAGAGTAAAGTTTGCTTTTGCCTCAGGGGTCTGGAAAAGTTAACGTTATTCCTGAGACCTACACTGACCTTGCTGGTGTGTGTGTGTTTGTGG